GGTGGTAATGGTGGTGGTGATGGTGATGATCGTGATGGTGGTAATGGTGGTGATGATGGTGATGGTGGTGATGATGGTGATGGTGGTGATGGTGGTGGTGATGGTGGTGGTGGTGATGGTGATGATGATGGTGGTGATGGTGATGGTGGTGATGGTGGTGATGGTGGTGGTGATGATGGTGGTGGTAATGGTGGTGGTGATGATGGTGGTGGTAATGGTGGTGGTAATGGTGATGGTGGTGATGATGGTGGTAATGGTGGTAATGGTGGTAATGGTGATGGTGGTGATGGTGATGATGGTGATGATGGTGATAGTGATGATGGTGATGGTGATGGTGGTGATGGTGATGGTGGTGGCCGTGCCGCCTGCAGGCCTCGTGCGAGCACACGGGCCCAGGTCTCCGCGTGTGCTCGTGCCGCTCGGGGTACACGGGGGACGGCATCTCCTGCCTGGGGGACCTGGTCACGGTGAGTGTACAGGGGGTGGGGGGGGGTGGGGGTGAGTGTGGGGGTGCAGGGGGTGCAGGGGGTGGGGGTGGGGGTACAGGGGGACCTAGTCACAGTGGGGATGGGGGGGGGGGGTGCAGGGGGTGGGGGTGGGTGTACAGGGGGACCTGGTGAGGGTGGGGTGGGGGTACAGGGGGACCTGGTCACAGTGGGGGTGGGGGTACAGGGGAACCTGGTGGGGGTGGGGGTGGGGGTACAGGGGGACCTGGTGAGGGTGGGGTGGGGTACAGGGGGACCTGGTCACAGTGAGGGTGGGGGTACAGGGGGACCTGGTGAGGGTGGGGGTACAGAGGGACCTGGTGGGGGTACAGGGGGTACAGGGGGGCCTGGTGGGGGTACAGGGGGTACAGGGGGACCTGGTGAGGGTGAGGGGTGGGGGTAGAGGTAACAGGAGGCTCCTAGGGGGACCTGGGTTTATGGAGTCGGGGCCCAGAGGGATCTTGGTTTGCAGTAGGGACCTGGGGTAACCTGCAGTCGGAGTAATGGAGTAGGAACCCAGGGAGACCTGGGATTTGCAATGGAGACCCAAGGGGACATTGGGTTTGCAGGAGGGCCCTAGAAAGACCTGGGAATTGATTGGGGAGCTCGGAGAATGTTGGATTGCAATGAGTGGTCCAGGTGGACCTGGGGTAGGAGTCAAGCCCAGGTGGACCTGGGGTAGGAGTCAAGCCCAGGGGGAGCTGGGTTGATGCCCGTGATTCGTGTCTTCCCTTTCCAGACGCTGGCGTCTGGCTTCGTGTTTGCTCCATTCAATGCGTGGGTTGAGGTGAGTCGGTGGTGAGTGGGTGAGTAGGTGAGGTGAGTGCGTGGGTGGTTGGGTGAGTGAGTGGATGGGTGGGTGAGTGAGTGGGTGGGTGGGTGAGTGGGTGAGTGGGTGAGCGAGCGAGTGAGTGGGTGGGTGGGTGGGTGGGTGAGTGAGTGAGTGAGTGGGTGGGTGAGTGAGTGGGTGGGTGAGTGAGTGAGTGAGTGGGTGGTTGGGTGAGTGGGTGGGTGAGTGAGTGAGTGAGTGGGTGGGTGGGTGGGTGAGTAGGTGGGTGTGTGAGTGAGTGAGTGAGTGGGTGGGTGGTTGGGTGAGTGAGTGAATGGGTGTGTGAGTGAGTGAGTGTGTGAGTGAGTGAGTGGGTGGGTGGGTGGGTGAGTGAGTGGGTGGGTGGGTGAGTGGGTGGGTGAGTGAGTGAGTGAGTGGGTGGGTGAGTGGGTGGGTGGGTGGGTGGGTGGGTGAGTGAGTGAGTGAGTGGGTGGGTGGGTGGGTGGGTGGGTGAGTGAGTGGGTGGGTGAGTGGGTGGGTGAGTGGGTGGGTGAGTGAGTGGGTGGGTGAGTGAGTGGGTGGGTGGATGAGTGAGTGAGAAAGTATGTAGTTAAGTGAGTCCCCCCCCCCCCAGCCTCACGTCCCTCTCCCCCTTGACCCTCCCCCTTTCTTACCGATATAACCTCTTACCACGGAAACTCTCTCTCCCACTTCAGCAAAAAAATGTTCTTGCTGTGGTTTTCCCACCTGATGATGATCGCTTGTGTTGCAATCGAAACGTCGTGATTTATTTTATTTAATAACCTACGTGACTTTACCGAAAGAACCAAAGAGTATGGGTGAGTGAGTGAGTTTACGCTTGGGGAGGTGGATGAGTGGGTGGGTGAGTCGGTGGGTGAGTAGGTGGGTGAGTCGGTGGGTGAGTGGGTGAGTGAGTGGGTGGGTGAGTAGGTGAGTCGGTGGATGGGTGGGTGGGTGAGTGAGAGTGCAGGTGAGTGAGTTGGCACGTGTGCAGGCGAGTGAGTGGGTGTGTGAGTGGGTGGGTGAGTGGGTGAGTGAGTGGGTGGGTGAGTAGGTGGGTGAGTAGGTGGATACGTGGGTGAGTGAGTGTGCAGGCGAGTAAGTGGGTATGTGAGTGGGTGGGTGAGTGGGTGAGTGAGTGGGTGGGTGAGTCGGTGGGTGAGTCGGTGGATGGGTGGGTGAGTGAGTGTGCAGGCGAGTGAGTTGGTGTGTGTGTAGGTGATTGAATCGGTGAGTGGGAGTGGCTGTGTGAAAGTGGGCAGGGCCAAGGAAGGGAGGGGGGGTTAAGGGGGAGGGGCCTCCGGCTTTCCGTGTGTCCACGTTGAGCCTCCCAGAATGGTACGTACAAGGCCGTAATTATAATAAATATTGGGGGGGGCACATCCCCCCCCCCCCAATATTCAAATATGCTCAAAATGCCCCCCCCCCCCCAATATATTGCTGTAAAAAATTGCTATGCTATGTAAATAAAAACAACAGTTTGCTCAACCTTTGCCACAATATCTGGACTTGTCTTCATATAAATCAATGCGTAGATTTCTGTTTATATGATTGTGGTGATGGTTGTATTTGATTAATCCCTAATCTCTGCCATTACATACAATGACGCAAGAAATGGTGAAAAAGTTAAAACAAAGCAATGTAATACAATACACTATTACACATTATTGTAAAAAATAAATAAATAATCCATCCCATGTGTTTGTGAATTTTTTTTTATATTTTAGGCAGGAAATTATTTTTAAAATTCAGATATTTTTTCTGGGTTGGGACCCCCACACCCCCTGGACGATTTGGTCCCCCCCAACGTTGACTCCACGGCTACAGCCTTGACGTACGTGGCCAACCGTGCGGCCTCGCCGTGTCTGCGTGTGGGCCCACAGAGGGCCTCGCTCAGGGAGACCCTGGCCTCCGGGAACTTCACCGTGCTGGTGCCCGCCGCCAGCGTCATCGCCAACGTGACGTGGAGCGGCGAGCGCGAGGCGGCCAGCGCGGTCAAGTGAGCCGGCCACACCGCCCCGACACCGACACCCGCCCATTCCCCGCTAAGTGGCAGTGACGTCACCACGACGCATGCGCCAGGCCACGTGAAGTGTCGAAGGCTCGCTGCTGGCAGGAGGTCACGGGAGAGACCCACGCGGTGCCATGGGGTTGACTGACTGAGATGACCGGCAGATGCACCGGCTCTGCCCGCCCCCTCCCACACACACACGCCACCGTTAAACGCTACACGGGGCGGGAGATGATAATTCGTTTTTTACCCAGTGCATACATTATCAGAGTTGTGATTTTTGTTTGCATTATGACTGCAGGTATTGTGGTCTATGCAAACATGACTCCTTGTAAAAAAAGGTGTCAGTTTTGTTGCCAGATAGAAGGGTAAAAAAACAATTATCGTATATTTTACTGGCAAATGAGGTTCCAATGGTGGGGCGGGAGATCTTTCTCTTTGTGTGGAGTGGTTAACGCGCTGCGCGACCAACGTCCAACATCGCTGGCGACTATCGTAACGGGTCCTGGGCCTCACCTAGGTCGACTCAGCCCTTAAATTTGTACCTGATGCATTGTGGAAAAACATCACCACTGGGAAGGGAGACAAAGGCGGCCCCGGACATGGCTTTGGGCCACACCACCCACTCGCCCCAACGTTGCGGTTAAACGCTACGCGGGGAAGGGGCGGGGGGAGGGGCGAGGATCTTGACCTTTGCCTTTGCCCTCCCCCACGCGCGGCGTGCAGGATGCACGTGCTGCCCGGCAGGTTCTCCCTGCAGGAGTTGGAGTCGCGGGGCAGCACTCGGCTGCCCACGCTGCAGCCCGGCACCACGCTCCTCATCGGCCGCTCCAGCACGGTGCCGCCCTAGCCCCCCCCCCCACCCTGACTCTTACCACCCCGACCCACCGAGCCCTGACCCCTGACCTCTGACCCCTTCGGCCAGAGCGGTATTTTTCCTGTGCCGTTGGCAGTGGACCGTAGAGTTAAGGACTTACAATTTTGTGTTTATTTTACCGTTTAAGGCCCACCGAGCTATGTAGTTATTTTCAGAAGCGACCTGGCCACAAGCGATAGCTCAGCGAAGCGACGTAATGTGTACGTTTATAGCAGCCAAATACTCTAAAAGCGTGTAAAAACTGGAGGACCCGGAGAAAAATCCTGAAGACCACGGAGGGAACATGCAAACTCCAAATATATGTGTGTCAGGGTTGGGATTGAACCCACGACCTCCTGTACACCAGGCGAGGTAGTTAACATCTCCGAGCCACCGTGATGATGATGAGAGAGAGAAACACGCAAACTCCACATACAGCAGCATGCGTCAGGGTTGGGATTGAACCCACGACCTCCTGTGTACCAGGCGAGGTAGTTAACATCTCCTAGCCACCGTGATGATAATGAGAGAGAGAGACACGCAAACTCCAAATATACAGCAGCAGGCGTCAGGGTCGGGGTCGAACCCACGACCTCCTGTGTACCAGGCGAGGTAGTTAACATCTCCTAGCCACCGTGATGATGATGAGAGAGAGAAACACGCAAACTCCACATACACAGCAGGCGTCAGGGTCGGGGTCGAACCCACGACCTCCTGTGTACCAGGCGAGGTAGTTAACATCTCCGAGCCACCGTGATGATAATGAGAGAGAGAGACACGCAAACTCCAAATATACAGCAGCAGTTAACATCTCTTAGCCACCGTGGCGCCCCATATGTGGCACGTGACAGCCGGCAGCCGTGGCTATAGTGAGAGATATACTGGATGTGGTGTGCTGGGTGGCTGACCCGGACAGACCCGACCGAAGTTCATCTCTGACTCTCAGCCCGACGTGTGTGCGTGGTGTGCATGCGTACGCCACCCACGACCACCGGGCGTGCGTTAGAAGGCTACACGGGGGCGACCCGAGTTCGATTCGCGCTCACGGCTAACATCAACGGCGATCATCGCAACCGATTCTGTGCCTTCCCTGGCCGTGTAAACATCATATTCTTAGTTCTTTCGGTAACGTCACGTAGGTAAAAAATTAAATAAAAAAAAATAAAAAATCACGACGTTTCGGAGGCAACACAAGTCTCCGTCATCAGGTGGGACCGTCACAGCCAGATTTGCATGGGCGGACCACAACACCCCTTCGTACGCCATTCCGGCCTTCATAGGTGCTACTGACTAACGGCACTTGCCCCAACAGCCTGTGTAGACTGTGAGGGGGTGGGGGGGGGGTCTTTGTCTCAGTCCTCATGAATGCCTTGAGCCACGCAGTGCTGGCGGCGGTGGCTACGCTGCTGCACGTGGCCGCGAGGGTTGGTAGATCACACAAAGACGGCGTTGTGAAACTCGCTTCTACTTCTTCTTCTTACACCCGCGGGTGGGCGTCCAGGAGGAGCCGTAGCCCTGGCTCGGCCAGGAGAAGGCGTCACGGCACGGTGTGGACTAATCTCCATCTGTCCCATCTGGACGGGGATAGAGTGTTGCCCCCTCGCACAAGGCGCGGGAGGTTTTCTGCGGGTGCTCCGGTTTCCTCCCCCACGTGAACGACAACAACGATAATAAGGGGCCGTCCATAAATGACGTCACGCACATGGGGGGGGGGGGGTCAGACATTTGTGACGAGGTGACGAGGGGGGGGAGAGTTGAGAAATGTGACGTCACATCAAAATGCGCAACTTTAAATAAATATAGGCAACACGTTCTACTGAATTAAATAGACTTTTTAATAAATGTTTTCTCCTACAACATCAGAGTGCAGCGCCACATTAAACACGCACTACAATGACTATAGTTTAAAGCGATTTGAAGCATGTTTTATTTTTTTGGGGGGGGAGGCAGAGCTTTGTGACGTCATCTTTGAGGGGGGGGGGGTCTGACTTTTTGTGACGTCGTGTGACGAGGTGGGGGAGGCGGGTCAAAAATCGTCCAAAATCGCGTGGCGTCATTTATGGACGGCCCCTAATGATACCCATGCAACTCGTCATTAGTTGAGCTGAAAACATCTGACGGATAAACGCCTCCAGTGTAGCGGCTGGAGCGGCAGGACCCTCCTGAACTTGAGCCCTAGGACTCGTCACCGTCACCGTGATGCGAGCGCCGTGTATTCTCCCGTCGCAGAATTTGACCATCGGGGATGCGATGGTGGTGGCCTCCGATGTGATGGCGTCGAACGGCATCGTCCACGTCATCGACCGGGTGAGCATCCCGTTCAGCACTTACACTCACCACCTACACTCACCAACTACACTCACCACTTACACTCACCACCTACACTCACCAAATACGCTCACCACTTACACTCACCACCTACACTCACCAAACTACACTCACCACCTACACTCACCAACTACACTCACCACTTACACTCACCACCTACGCTAACCACCTACATTTCGATTTAAAGCTTTCGTGACTGCAGGGGTTCATCTTGTTGTTTGGTTTCTCCAATGTAACTGCTACCACAGAGGCAACTTAGTTTGTAGACGCCAGGGTACTGTATGTCTGGAACCACATCTTTTACAGACGGGACCAGATCACGGATTTTATGTACTGTGTTGAATCGGACCTGGATCTTGTGTTTTATCAGGATTTTGGAGATCTTTTTTGTGACCCCAGCAATGTAGGGTAAGGTGATGGTCTTGAAAGGCTCCTCAACAGGATCCTTATTGGTGGTTGGAGTGATGGCTTTGCGGATTGTTTAGTCGGAGTAACCATTAGCCTTAAGAGCTTGGCGTACGAGTTTGAGTTCACTGGCAATGTGTTCCTGGTCGGAGATGCAATGGGCTCTATGGTATAGAGTCTTGATAAGGGAATTCTTCTGGGATGGATGGTGGTGGGAATCCGGTTTTAGGTAAGCATCCGTATGGGTAGCTTTCTTGTAGACAGAGTGGCTCACAGATTCACCATGGAAGTCGAAAAAGATGGCAAGCTACCTTTTTGGATGTCCTAATTAAAAGGAGACCTGATGGTTCAATGAGCTACTCGCTAACAGCACTTGCCCCAACAGTCTGTTACAGGCTACACGTGGTTATTTGTGTGGTGATTGTGATTGTTGTGGTTGTTGTGGTTGTTGTGGTTGTTGTGGTTGTTGTTGTGGCTGTCGTGTCAGATGGTGCAGCCGTCACGCAACATTCAGAATCTCCCCGATCTCCACACGCGGCTCGGACAGATGCCTCAATACAGCACGTTCCAGGAGCTCCTCACGGTCACCCACCCACCCACCCACTCACTCACCCAACCACTCACCCACCACTCACTCACTCACTCACCCACTCACCCACTCACTCACCCACCCACTCACCCATTCCCTCACCCACTTACTCACCCACTCACTCACCCACTCACCCACTCACTCACCCACTCACCCATACACCCACCCACTCGCTCACCCACCCACTCGCTCACCCACTCACCCACTCACCCATTCACCCACAAACCCATCCACTCACCCACCCACTCGCTCACCCACCCACTCGCTCACCCACTCACCCACTCACCCAACCACTCACTCACTTACCCATTCACCCACCCACCCATCACTCACCCACTCACTCACCCACCCACCCTCCACTCACTCACCTACCCACCCTCCACTCACTCACCCATCCACTCACTCACTCACTCACCCATTCACCCACCCACCCACTCACTCACCCACCCACCCTCCACTCACTCACCTACCCACCCTCCACTCACTCACCCATCCACTCACTCACTCACTCACTCACCCACCCAACCACTCACCCACCCATCCACTCACCCAATCATGCACACACCCATCCACTCACCCACCCACTCACTCACTCACTCACCCACCCAACCACTCACCCACCCATCCACTCACCCAATCACGCACACACACCCACTCACCCAATCACGCACACACCCACCCACTCACTCACCCACCCACCCACCCACTCACCCACCCACTCACTCACTCACCCACCCACCCACTCACTCATTCACTCACACAATCACTCACTCACTCACCCACCACTTACTCATTCACCCATTCACCGACCCACTCACTCACTCACTCACCCACCCAACCACTCACCCACCCATCCACTCACCTAATCACGCACACACCCATCCACCCACTCACCCACCCACCCACTCACTCACTCACCCACCCACCCACCCACCCACTCACTCACTCACTCACCCACCCACTCACTCATTCACTCACACACTCACCGAGTCACTCACTCACTCACTCACCCACTCACTCACTCAACCACCCACTCACCCGCTCACTAACTGAGTCACTCACCAAGTCACTTACCCATTCACTCACCGAGTCACTCACTCACTCACCCACTCACTCACTCAACCACCCACTCACCCGCTCACTAACTGAGTCACTCACCAAGTCACTTACCCATTCACTCACCGAGTCACTCACCCACTCGCCCACTCACCCCCGTGCTCACTCACCCTGTGCTCACCAGGAGTACGAGCTGATCGGGCGGGTCGAGCGGTCCGAGGCCTACACAGTGTTCGCTCCCAGCCAGGAGGCCATGGACCAGTTCCGCAAAGAGCGACCCACGCACCCGGTACCTCCCACTAGCCCCCACCCCCCCACCCTTTAACCCCCCCCCCCCATACCCCCACCCCCCCAACCTTAAGTCCTGACCCTATTTTCACACCAACCCACTTATCCGGGCACCTCTCGCCAGCCCTGACCCTATCATTGCAACTCACTGCTCTACGGGACGTCTGGCAAAAAAAATCACCAATATATGGTACACGCAACATTCTCCGGCACGCATCGTGACGGAGTACCGCAAGATCCCACCGTGTCCGTCCGGTGCTCGCCGGGTTGCGTTGGCTTCCTGTTGCCGAACGAATTCGTTAAAAGGTCGCGCTCATCACGCACACAAAGTTGCTTGCCACAGATGAACCACAATCATCACCTGGCTGGTCTCGTCAAGGAGCTATAAACCATCACCACGCGGACTCCGCTCATCCTCGCAGCAGCAGCGGCGTTTGGCTGGCCGTCGAACAAAGACGGTGGTCACCGCATCGCGTGGCGCTTTCAGATGCGCCGCTGCGGCCGTCTGGAACGCTCTCTTCCTTCCCATATCAGGAAGCCACTGGGAGCTAGGCACTTTTAAACCATCATCGAGATTGAAAACTAATTTCTTTCGAACTCCCTGTTGTGTTAGTTTGTTGTCCTTCCCCTGCACCGCCGATTTAGCACGGTTAGCTACGTATGGTGCAAAAGAAGTTCAACATACATACAATCTAGACTCCAGCAATGAATGTCTACGTGCATGTGTGCGAATATCCACGTGGAGTGCGTGTGTGTGTGTGTGGACGTGTAAACAGCAGCACTGTGAAGACACACCACGCGCTCACAGGTGGGCCGTGCCAGTCTTCATAGGTCCTACTTGCCAACGGCAAAAGGCTACGTGGGGGACCTTTGTGTGTGTGTGTGTGCAGAATGCGGGGAGCGGTGGTGCAGCGGTTAGCGCTACGCCGCGCTACGAACCCGGCGACCCGAGTTCGATTCCCGCTCACGGCCACCACCGGTGACGATTACCTGAACCGGTCCCGGGTTCTCCCCAAGGCCGACCCGTCGTGTGCCGTGCTCGCGAACGGCACTTGCCCCAAAAGTGTGCTGAGGCTACACGGGTTACCTTCGCCTCTTGTGCGTGTGCAGAATGACGAGCAGGTGATGTACCACGTGATCCTGGGAGAGAAGCTGATGTCACGTGACCTGCGGCCCGGCATGCACCGCCCCACCATGCTGGGCACCTCCTACCAGCTGGGGTTCTTCTCGCACGACGGGCAGGCACGGCGCTGCACTCGGAGAGCACGCAGACGATGACGACGACGACGATGATGATGACGATCATGATGACGATGATGACGATGATGATGATGACGATGACGACGATGATGACGATGATGATGATGACGTTCATGATGATGATGATGATGACGAAAATGACGATGACAACAACGATGATGACGATGATGATGACGAAAATTACGACGACGATGATGATGATGACGACGATGACGACGACGATGATGATGATGACGATGATGACGACGATGACGACGACGATGATGATGATGACGATGATGATGACGACGATGACGATGATGACGATGATGCGATGATGACGAAAATGACGACGATGACGATGATGATGATGACGATGATAACGATGACGACAATGACGAGGATGATGACGAAAATGACGACGATGACGACGACGATGCTGATGATGACGATGCCGGACGATGCTGTTGCCTCTCAGCTGCTGGTGAACAACGTGGTGGTGGACAACGCGGACGTGGAGACGGACCGCGGCGTGGTGCACGGAGTGGCGCGCGTGCTGCACGTGCTGCACAACCGCTGTGACACCAACGAGACCACGGTCACTCTGGTGCGCTCACCCTCACTCGCTCACCCTCGTGCGCTCACTCGCTCGCTCACCCTCACTCGCTCACCCTCGCTCACTCGCTCGCTCACCCTCACTCGCTCACTCACCCTCGCTCGCTCACTTCGCTCGTCAAGGTGAAACTTTTTTCCAATCCCGTATTACCCGCACATCGCCCCGTTGGGATCGCACAGAGCGGCACTCGTGGGCCCCCCTACTACTGGCGGCAGACTCACGCCCCACGTCTCGCTCCCTCGTGAGGAGATTCTATCCCTGGTGTCACCTGGTTACACGAAATTCATAACCTTGAAACTTTGACACTTGATTCTGACCTCATGACCACATGACCCCGTGTGACCCTGACCCTGTGTCACCCCGACCCCGTGTGACCCTACCCCGTGTGACCCCTGACCCCGTGTGACCTCGACCCCGCGTGACCCCTGACCCCATGTGACCCTGACCCCGTGTGACCCCTGACCCCGTATTTCTATCTCAGAGCAAATGCTCGAGCTGCCAGTTCAAGCCCGACTGCCCTGTTGGCACGGTGCCCGTGGTGAGCTGCACAACCACATGCACACCTGTACAACCACGTGAACACCTGCACAACCACATGCACACCTGCACAACCACGTGAACACCTGCACTACCACATGCACACCTGTACAACCACGTGAACACCTGCACAACCACGTGAACACCTGCACAACCACGTGAACACCTGTACAACCACGTGAACACCTGCACTACCACATGCACACCTGCACAACCACGTGAACACCTGCACAACCACGTGAACACCTGCACAACCACGTGAACACCTGCACAACCACGTGAACACCTGCACTACCACATGCACACCTGTACCACCACGTGATCACCTGCAGAACCACGTGAACACCTGTACCACCACGTGAACACCTGCACAACCACGTGAACACCTGCACAACCACGTGAACACCTGCACTACCACATGCACACCTGTACCACCACGTGAACACCTGCACAACCACGTGAACACCTGCACAACCACATGAACACCTGTACCACCACGTGAACACCTGCACTACCACGTGAACACCTGCACAACCACATGAACACCTGCACAACCACATGAACACCTGCACTACCACATGAACACCTGTACCACCACGTGAACACCTGCACAACCACGTGAACACCTGTACCACCACGTGAACACCTGCACAACCACGTGAACACCTGCACAACCACGTGAACACCTGCACTACCACATGCACACCTGTACCACCACGTGAACACCTGCACAACCACGTGAACACCTGCACAACCACATGAACACCTGTACCACCACGTGAACACCTGCACTACCACGTGAACACCTGCACAACCACATGAACACCTGCACAACCACATGAACACCTGCACTACCACATGAACACCTGTACCACCACGTGAACACCTGCACTACCACATGCACACCTGCACAACCACGTGAACACCTGCACAACCACATGCACACCTGCACTACCACATGCACACCTGCACAACCACATGAACACCTGTACCACCACGTGAACACCTGCACTACCACATGCACACCTGCACAACCACATGCACACCTGCACTACCACATGCACACCTGCACTACCACATGCACACCTGCACAACCACGTGAACACCTGCACAACCACATGAACACCTGTACCACCATGTGAACACCTGCACTACCACATGCACACCTGCACAACCACGTAAACACCTGCACTACCACGTGAACACCTGCACAACCACATGAACACCTGCACAACCACGTGAACACCTGCACAACCACATGAACACCTGCACAACCACATGAACACCTGCACAATCACATGAACACCTGCACTACCACGTGAACACCTGCACAACCACGTGAACACCTGCACAACCACGTGAACACCTGTACAATCACGTGAACACCTGCACAAGCACGTGACACCTGCACAACCACATGAACACATGTGTTCGTTTGTTAGTGCCTGTGCATTCACGTGTGTGTGTTCCTGTGTGTACAGAGCCGGATGTGCGTGTTCACATGCGTGTGTGTTCGCTTGTGCGTACACACCTGTGTGTTCACCCGCGTGATCACCCACATGAACATCTGTATTCACCCGCGCGTGTTCACTCGTCTGTGTTCACCAATTTGTTGTTCATCCGTGTGTTCACCCACACTTGCTCACCCACGTGTTGTTCACCCACGTGTTGTTCACCCATGTGTTCACCCATGTGTTCACCAATGTGTCCACCAATGTGTCCACCCATGTGTTCACCCACACACTGGTGCGTTCACCCACACGTGCTCACCCACGCATCTTCACCCACGTGTTGTCCATCCACGTGTTCACCCGCGCACTGGTGCGTTCACCCACGTGTTCACCCGTGCACCGGTGCATTCACCCACACTTGTTCACCCACATGTTGTCCACCCACGTGTTCACCCGTGCACCCGTGTGTTCACCCGTGCACCGGTGTGTTCACCCACACTTGTTCACCCACGTGTTGTCCACCCACGTGTTCAGCCACGCACCGGTGCATTCACCCACGCGTGGTTCACCCACGTGTTCACCCACGCGTTGTCCACCCACGTGTTCACCCGCTCTTGTGCAGGAGGGTCCGGGCCCACGCCGCAAGTCGAACTGCATCTACCTCCGCTACTTCCTGGGCCGCCGGCAGATGTTCCTGGGCTGCCGCTCCAACTGTGCACGCACCGTCATCGTGAGTGGCCACCACCACCACCAACAACAACAACAACAGCAACAACAACAGCAGCGCTGAGTGGCGGTGACGTCACCACGGCTCTTGTGCCAGGCTAGGTGCGCCCTTTGAGGCCACGTGAGGGTCTCGATGGTTCGCTGCAAGTAGGAAGTTACTGGACAGACCCGGGTGCCATGGGTTGACCGACTGGGATGACCGATGGATGCATCACCTGTGCGCCCCGCTGTGCCAACTTGCTGCGTTTTGGCCGCCCGGCGCTCCGCTCGTTGTTGTGAGCGTCGCTCCTCTACACTCTGTTGTTGTTGGAGGATGACTGCCTCCAACTGCCCAGTAGCAGCGTCCTTCATGAGCCTCCTCCACAGAGGTCGATCTTGACACCGCTCGTACCAGTCATCGGCAAGTCCACTCAGCTCCACGTCCTCCTGTACCACATCACTCCATCTCTTCTCTAGCCCGTGCCGCGCCCGTTTAGCCCCCTCAATCCGGCCGAACAAAAGCTGTTTAGGCATGCGGTGGCTGGGCATGCGGGCTACATGACCCAGCCAACGCAGTCTTGCCTGCCGGAGGAGCTCACCGATGGGACTTTGCCCAGATCTTTCAAGGATTTTTGAGCTCCTCACACAATCCAGCCTGGTTAAACCCAGGATGGATCGTAGGCAGGCCAGCCTAAATGTTTCCAACGGGCGAAGATGCTCCATTAGGGGGGTCAGCGTAGAGAAGGGAGGGAATGACTGTGACCGAGAAGACCTGAAGCTTCGTGCGGAGCGACACACAGCGTTACGCAACCGATGAAAATATATTGCCGCTCGACTGATTCGGAGTGAGACCTCTGCTGTTAAACTGGAGCCGGTCATAAGCACACTGCCCAGGTATGGGACACTTTCCACTCTCTCCACTACTGCCCCATCACCGATTGGGAGTTGTGGGGGTGGAGTGTCCGATGGTACAAAATACCCAGGCACACACACACGCACACACACGCACACACACACTCCCTTTGCCTCCACAAAACAAGTTCAGCAAACAACAACAACAACCGCCACTAAGTGGCGGTGATGTCACCGCGACGCTTGTGCCAGGCCACGTGCACGCACACACCACGTACCTGTGCCCCCCAATCCCCCCCCCCCTTCCCCCACGTAGACGACCGACTGCTGCGAGGGCTTCTTTGGGCCCCCGTGTGCCGCGTGCCCGGGCCAGGTGGAGGCGGCGGGCGAGGGGGGCGGGGCGTGCGGGGGCCACGGGATCTGCAGCGACGGGCTCAACGGCACCGGTGCGTGCGCGTGCCAGGAGGGCTACACGGGGCGCGCGTGCCAGCAGTGCGAGCCCGGCAAGTTCGGCCACAGCTGCCTGCAAGGTGACCACTCCCATGCCGCACTGCGGTGCCGGGGGGGGGGTCGTGGGTGTGTGTGTTGCGAGGGTGTGATGTGTGTGTGTGTCTGTGATGGGTGTGGTGGGGGTGATGGGTGTGATGTGATGGGTGTGTGTGTGTGATGGGTGCGTGTGTGATGTGATGTGTGTGGTGGGGTGTGTTGTGTGTGTGTGTGATGGGTGTGTGTGTGATGTGTGTGGTGGGGGTGTGCGTGTGTGATGGGCGGTGTGTGTGTGTGTGATAGGTGTGTGTGTCTGATGGGTGTGCATGTGATGTTTGTGTGATGGGTGTGTGGTGTGTGTATCATGCAAGTCTGTGATCTGTCATGGAGCTCTGATGTGTGCGCGATGGGTGTGTGTGCCTCTGTTAACCGGTTGCACTCAGTAATCAGTTGCGCTGCACTCTCAACCCAGCGACCGGGTTCCTAGTGCATCGACATCACGTGCACACTCACACTCGTGTGCGTGCGCCGCGTGCAGACTGCGCGTGCGTCAACGGGCGCTGCCGGGACGGCGAGCAGGGCGACGGGAGCTGCGGCTGCGCCGTGGGCTGGCGTGGAATCCGCTGCGACGAGCGTGGGTGACCCACGACCTGAGCTCTTGACCCCCTCAGCCCGGTGGCGCAGGGGGCGCGGTTTGCACAGAGCCCCCCGGAACCGAGCAGTGAAATGGTGGGCCCTCTGCTCCTGTCCACCTTCTGTGGCTCTGGCTCCCTAGGGCGCCGAGGTTGCTAGTAGATGTTTACTACCTCGCTTGGTATCCAGGAGTTTGTGGGTTCGATCCCGACCCTGACGCCTGTTGCGTATTTGGAGTTTGCGTGTCTCTCTCTCTCTCCCCGTCGTCCCGTGGATTTTTCTCCGGTCCTCCAGTTTTTCCCTCTGCATTTAGAATAAACATCGCGAATTTCAAGTATTTGGCCACTCGTAATCAACGTTTTTGGGTTAGATCGCGTTATTTATAAATAGTGTCGTAACCCTCCACCACCCGACACGGCCAATCAGCAAAAAAGTGTCACGTTGACAAAAGACAAATAGTTCACTGCTTTAGCCCACCGGTGTGTTGAAGGGTGGTGGAGGGTTACGACACATTTATGAATAACGCGATCTAAACCCAAAAACGTTGATAATGAATAATATTGGTCGCGAAAGGCTACGTGTGATATTTGGCCACTGCTATAAATGTCTACGTGATGGTGACCAGCAACTTCGTTGGGCTGTTATTTGTGGCCAGGTCGCTTCTGATAAGAGCTACATAGCTCAGTGGGCCTTACCTGGTGAAATAAAAATTGTTTGGAGTTTTAGCTACGCCACACCTTGACGACCGCCTTGACCCCTTGACCCATGACCTCCAGCCCTTTCACGTGGCTCCAGGTTGAGGAGGCCATGGGCTCCACCCCGGGTCTTCCAGTCCCATGTGGATTTGCTGGGTTACTGAGAAGCAATGGCAATCGGTGACAGATAATTATGATGAAAATTATGAAGAAAAAAAATCATCTTTCTGTGGTTTTCCCACCTGATGATGATTGCTTGTGTTGCAATCGAAACGTCGTGAATTAATTTATTTTCTACCCACGTGACTTTACCGAAAGAACCAAAGAGTATGGATCCCTGCAGCCACGAAAACTTCAAATCGAGATCATTCTGATGACCCTCGATGATGATTAAGGGCGATTCCACGCTTTCATTGCAGGAATAAAAGATGACCTTTGCAACAAGACGTGCCACTCCAGTGCCAAGTAGGCCCTCCACACACACACACAGTCACCCGCGTGCCTTGCCTGAACCCCACGTGGGTTCTGAGAAATTAATGTGTGAATAATGAACATCGATGTAACCCCTCCCTCTCTCCGCCCCCACCCCCCTCTGTCTATTTAAGGCCTCGCCACAGAGACGATCTCCCTCTCTGTGCCTATGTGGTTACTCTCTCTCTCTCTATGTATCTTGGTGATATCTATCTGCTTATATGTCTGTCTATAGTTTTCTGGTTAGATTTGTGTCGCTATTTCATTTATACCTGATGACGATTGCTTGTGTTGCAATCGAAACGTCGTATGCTATTATTTAATTTATTATTTTCTCTTTATACGTTACTTTACCGAAAGAACCAAAGAGTAATTCCTGCAGTCACGAAAGCTCCAAATTAACATCGATGTTCACGAATTGTCCATTTTGCGAGCTATCATCCCGACTAGCTGGTCATGTCGAAGCGAATAAAAAAATATGTCAGCGGCCGCCCGGCACGCGCTGGCTGGTTACTCTTGGGAACCCGCACTGTTGACGATCAGTGAGTTTAGAAAGGTCTCATCATCTCGTTCCAGGTTACCATGCACATACAGTGTCAACCCATACGGGTTACCCTGTATTCTTGTACAGGGGAATTGAGGTCCGTAAGGCGTGCAGCCGTTTCAATACGGGCAAAAAACTTATTTTGTCTGTTTGTGTTTCTCGCCTAGTGATGGGACTTTGTAGGATGAACGTTGAGATGTATAAGGGGCACGGGGTGATCAATAATGTCTGAATTGTTCTGTAATAAGGCAGGGCACTGATAAGGGGTTGACGGGTACGCAAATGGGTTTAAATGTTACCGTAGTTATTTTATCTCGGCAGATTCACACGTGACTATGCACCAGTGACTCTCACGTAGGAGCTGATGTCACACATTTACAATCGCCTCTTCACGTACCGCCTGGGTACCCCTGGTTAAGAACCACTGCTCGACACAAGCTGTCCCCTCTCTTCCTCCGAGTCCATGACCTCTGATCCATTGACCCCCATGACCCCCCCCCATCAGCTGTGTGGCTGGCGCTGCTGTAGGTGGCGTCCCGTCGTGCGTTTGTGCCGCGGGGTTCACGGGGAACGGCAGCGACTGCACGGGTAGGAAGCAGCGCTCGCCATCGCCATCAACGTCACTGTTATCAGCACCGTCAACATCGCCAGCGCTGATACCAGGGCCATGACCATCAACATCGCCATCGACATCACTCACACCAGGGCCATCAACATCAACATCACCAGCAACCTCGCCATCGACATCAACATCGGCAACACTGACACCAGGGCCATCAACATCAACACCACCAGCAACCTCGCCATCGACATCAACATCGGCAACACTGACACCAGGGCCATCAACATCAACACCACCAGCAACCTCGCCATCGACATCAACATCGGCAACACTGACACCAGGGCCATCAACATCAACACCACCAGCAACCTCGCCATCGACATCAACATCGGCAACACTGACACCAGGGCCATCAACATCAACACCACCAGCAACCTCGCCATCGACATCAACATCGGCAACACTGACACCAGGGCCATCAACATCAACACCACCAGCAACCTCGCCATCGACATCAACATCGGCAACACTGACACCAGGGCCATCAACATCAACACCACCAGCAACCTCGCCATCGACATCAACATCGGCAACACTGACACCAGGGCCATCAACATCAACACCACCAGCAACCTCGCCATCGATATCAACATCAGCAACACTGACACCAGGGCCATCAACATCAACACCACCAGCAACCTCGCCATCGACATCAACATCGGCAACACTGACACCAGGGCCATCAACATCAACACCACCAGCAACCTCGCCATCGACATCAACATCGGCAACACTGACACCAGGGCCATCAACATCAACACCACCAGCAACCTCGCCATTGACATCAACATCGGCAACACTGACACCAGGGCCATCAACATCAACACCACCAGCAACCTCGCCATCGACATCAACATCGGCAACACTGACACCAGGGCCATCAACATCAACACCACCAGCAACCTCGCCATCGACATCAACATCGGCAACACTGACACCAGGGCCATCAACATCAACACCACCAGCAACCTCGCCATTGACATCAACATCGGCAACACTGACACCAGGGCCATCAACATCAACACCACCAGCAACCTCGCCATCGACATCAACATCGGCAACACTGACACCAGGGCCATCAACATCAACACCACCAGCAACCTCGCCATCGACATCAACATCGGCAACACTTACACCAGGGCCATCGACATCAGCATCGGCAACACTTACACCAGGGCCATCAACATCAACACCACCAGCAACCTCGCCATCGACATCAACATCGGCAACACTGACACCAGGGCCATCAACATCAACACCACCAGCAACCTCGCCATCGACATCAACATCGGCAACACTGACACCAGGGCCATCAACATCAACACCACCAGCAACCTCGCCATCGACATCAACATCGGCAACACTGACACCAGGGCCATCAACATCAACACCACCAGCAACCTCGCCATCGACATCAACATCGGCAACACTGACACCAGGACCATCAGCATCAACATCACCAACACTGACATGACCACCATCAACATCACCGACATCAGCACCATCAAAATCAACATCGGAACCTTCATCATCAGTCACTGACAACGGGACCATCAAAATCGCCAACGACATCACCATCGATATTACCAGCACTACGAACCCGGCGACCCGGGTTCGATTCCTGCTCACGGCCAACACCCAGTGACGATTATCTGAACCGGTCACGGGCCTCCCCTAGGTCGACTCAGCCTCAAAATGAGTACCTGGTGCCATGGTATGTAACCATCACCACTGGGGAGACAAAGGGGCCGGGCATGGTGCTGGCCACCCAGCCCCTCGTGTGCCGTTCCGGCCTTCATAAGTGCCACTCGCGAAACATCATTTGCCTCAACAGCCTGCGACACGGTGGGGGATCTTTGTCCGTGTACCCCCCCCCCCCGCCCCGTAGCGGTGAACGCGTGCGAGAGAGACAACGGGGGATGCTCGGTGTTCGCTTCGTGCACCCGCACCCAGCCCGGCCTTCGCATCTGCACCTGCATGCAGGGATTCACTGGGGATGGAGTCATCTGTGAAGGCACGCACGCACACACACGCACACAAGCACGCACACACACACGCACACACACGCACGCACAGAGGTACACACACACACGCACGCACAGAGGTACACACACGCACACACGCACAGAGGTACACACACGCACACACGCACAGAGGTACACACACACACATGCACAGAGGTACACGCGCACACACACCTACAGAGGTACACACACACAGAGGTACACACACACAGATACACGTGCACACACACGCACAGAGGTACGTGCACACACTTACAGGTACACGTGCACACACACGCACAGAGGTACACGCGCACACACACGTACAGATGTATACGCGTGTACAAACACGTACAGATGCACGCGTGCACACACGTAAAGATGCACACACACACATACCTACAGAGGTACGCGCGCACACACACACGTACAGATGCACGCGTGCACACACGTAAAGATGCACACACACACATACCTACAGATGTACGCGCACACACACACACACGTACAGATGCACAACAGCAACCGCCATTCGCCACTAAGTGGCGACGACGCCACCGCGGCGCTTGTGCCAGGCTAGGTGCACTTTAAGATGCACACACACGCGAACACACACGTACAATTGCAGCACTTGCCCCTGAGAGTCTGTTGACGGCTATATTGGTGCGGGGGGTCCTTGCGTTTGTTGTGTGGTGCGCTTGGGACAGAAATTGATCCGTGCCTGGAAAACAACGGCGGGTGCCACGCCAACGCAGAGTGCACGCGCATCGGGCCCAACAAGGTCAGACTCCAGAGCAGGGTGTGTGTGTGTGTCTGTGTGTGTGTGTGTCTGTGTGTGTGTGTCTGTGTGTGTGTGTCTGTGTGTGTGTCTGTGTGTGTGTGTCTGTGTGTGTGTGTCTGTGTGTGTGTGTCTGTGTGTGTGTGTGTCTGTGTGTGTGTCTGTGTGTGTGTGTCTGTGTGTGTGTGTGTCTGTGTGTGTGTCTGTGTGTGTGTGTGTCTGTGTGTGTGTCTGTGTGTGTGTGTGTCTGTGTGTGTTGGTGAGCCTTGGACAGGCTTCATAGGTGCTCACTAACAGCGAGCGCCTATGAAGGCCGGCACGGCACACGAGGGGGTGGGTGGGGTGGACAGCCACCACACCCGGCCGCCTTTGCCTCCCCAGTGGCGATGTTTACTACACACCGCGTCAGGTACTCGTTTGCGGCTGAGTCGACCTAGGGGGAGGCCCAGGACTGGTTAAGATATTCTTCACTGGTCCTGGCCGTGAGCGGGAATTGAACTGGGGTTCGCCGGGTTCGTAGCGCACAGTCTATTAAATGCTACATGGGGGAACTTTGTCTCTATATTTATGAGTGGTGGCGCAGTAGTTATCGCAGGTGCGCTACAAACCCAGCGACCTGAGTTCAATTCCCGCTCAGGGCTAAAGCCGGTGACAATTATCTGAACCAGTCCTGGGCCTCCCCTAGGTAAATGGATACCTGGTGCGGTGTGTAATACACATCGCCAGCAGGGAGAGAAAGGCAGCTTTCGTAGGTACCTGTTAACAGCACTTGCCCCCAAGATATGTTGAGGCTATACGGGGATCTTTGTCTTGTGTGTGTGTGTGTAGGGCGTGTGCAACTGCCTGCGCGGCTTCCAGGGAGATGGGAAATCATCCTGCGAGTCCATCAACCCGTGCCGCGTGGTACGCCCGTCGCCACGGCAACCGCCGCCATTACTCCGGCCCTAACCGAACCGTCACCATTACCACGAACCCCAACACTGCCTCGAACAGCTGCCCCCCCGCACCTCACGATCCCCCCCCCCACCCCCCACCTGTATCCATGTGACAGGGCAATGGCGGCTGCAGCCTCTATGGCAAATGCAACCACACGGGCCCTGGGACCAGCACGTGCACCTGCAACCCGAGCTACGTGGGCGACGGGTACACCTGCCGGGGCACGGTCTTCCAGGTGAGCTGAAGGTGCAGCCCTGCAAGTGCAAGATGCCCGAGCCGCTGATGGCGGAAGTAAACTCATTAAACATTTTTTTTTATTTTGCCGGGTAAGGCCCCACCGCGCTGCTATGCAGCCATCGCAAATGACAGCTCAACGTAGTGGCTCATGATCATCGCGCGGAGAATTTCTAAGAGTCAAATACTCTGAACGTGTGATGGTGTTGATTATTAACGTGGAGGGAAAAACCGGAGGACCCGGACGAAAATCCACGCGATCACGGGGAGAGAGACACGCAAACTCCAAATATACAGCAGCAGGCCTCAGGGATGGGATCGCACCCACGACCTCCTGCACACCAGGCGAGGTAGTTAACATCTCCTAGCCACCGTGATGATGATGATGAGAGAGGGAGACACGCAAACTCCAAATATACAGCAGCAGGCGTCAGGGACGGGATCGAACCCACGACCTCCTGCACACCAGGCGAAGTAGTTAACATCTCCTAGCCACCGTGATGATGATGAGAGAGAGAGAGACACGCAAACTCCAAATATACAGCAGCAGGCGTCACGGTTGTGATCGAACCCATGACCTCCTGTATACCAGGCGAGGTAGTTAACATGTCCTAGCCACCGTGGCTCCTTGTGGTGAAGTGGCTCCACCAGATGGAGCTGATAGGGAGAGCTCCGCGTCCAGGAGGGTGTTTTTGGCCTCCTCTTCCAACGCTGGACAGACGTCTTGGAAGAGGTTGGAGCGATGATGATCACGTGACAGCGACGACGATGATGATTACACGATCACGTGACGATGATGTCATAATCACCATTGGAACCTCATTTGCCAGTAAAAAAATATGATAATTGGTTTTTTACCCTTTGATCTGGCAACAAGTCATGTTTCATAGACCACAATACCTGCAGTCATAATGCAAACAAAAAACAACTCTGATAATGTATGCACAGTGCATACATGCATACATTATCATAGTTATGTTTTTTGTTGCCAGATAAAAGGGTAAAAAAACAATTATCTTATGATGTCATAATCATTAGGATTAACGATGATCACACTTTGGCGATGATAATGATCTCGTGATCACGATGATGATAATCGTTGCACGATGATTACGATGATCATCACGATGATACGATCACGAGATCACATGATGATGATCTCGTGATCGTGACGAGACGACGATGGTGGTGATGTTCACACGACATTGATGGATGATCGCACGAGGGGGTTGAGACCGATGACGACGACAGTGACGCCGTGCGAGTCGCTGAGCCGCGTCCGTCTCCCCGCTCCGCAGGAGCTCTCCATCCACTCCGAGACCGGGGGGTTCTTCCTCCAGCTGCAGGTGAGTGTAGCCCCCCACAGTGCCCCCCCCCCCACAATGCCCCCCCCCCCACAATGCCTCCCCCACACAGTGCACCCCCCCGCCCCTCCCACAGAACCCCCCCAACACCGAGCACCTCCCCGCCTCCCCCTCCACACAGGGTCACATGGAGACGACACGGGGGCAGCCAGGGATTTCGGGACACGGGGACATGGGCAGACAGGGTGGTGGGGACAGAGACATGAGGATGCAGGGACACGGGGACACGGAGACACGGGGACACGGAGACACGGGGACACGGAAACACGGGGACACGGAGACACGGAGACACGGGGACGCGGAGACGCGGAGACGTGGAGACACGGGGACACGGAGACACGGAGACGCGGAGACACGGGGACACTGAGACGCGGAGACGCGGGGGCGTGGGGACGCGGAGACACGGGGACGCGGAGACGCGGAGACGCGGAGACACGCGGACACGGAGACGCGGAGACGCGGAGACACGGGGACACAGGGACACGGAGATGCAGAGGCGCGGGGGCACGGGGACGCGGAGACACGGGGACACGGAGACGCGGAGACGCGGAGACACGGGGACACGGAGACGCGGAGACGCGGAGACGCGGGGACGCGGGGACACGGGGACACGGAGACACGGAGACGCGGAGACGCGGAGACGCGGGGGTGCGGGGACGCGGAGACACGGGGACACGGGGACACGGAGACGCGGGGACGCGGGGATGCGGGGACACGGAGACACATGGCAGTATGGGAGTGCAGGAGCTCAGTGGCATAGGAACGTGGGTGTGTGTGTGTTGATGATGTTGATGTGAAAGTTGATGATGTTGATGCTGGTGATGTTAATGATGATGGTGGGGGTGATGATGGTGATGATGTTGATGATGTTGGTGATGATGTTGATGATGTTGATGATGCTGGTGATGTTCATTATGTTGATGATGATGTTGATGATGGTGGTGGTGATGATGATGCTGGTGATGTTGATTATGTTGATGATGATGTTGATGATGTTGATGTTGATGATGGTGATGGGGTCTCGCCCATCCCCGTGTGTCCAGAGGAACAAGATGGCGGAGCTGGCTGGGCCGGGCCCTTTCACCGTCTTCGTGCCGACAAACGCGGCCTTCAAGAGGGACAAGAAGGTCTCCTCACCACCACCACACTCACCACACCACCACGCTCACCACCACCACTCACCACCACGCTCACCACCACCACGCTCACCACCACGCTCACCACCACGCTCACCACCACTACGCTCACCACACTACCACTCACCACCACGCTCACCACCACGCTCACCACACCACCACGCTCACCACCACCACGCTCACCACCACCACGCTCACCACCACCACGCTCACCACACTACCACTCACCACCACGCTCACCACCACGCTCACCACACCACCACGCTCACCACCACCACGCTCACCACCACCACGCTCACCACCACGCTCACCACCATGCTCACTACACTATCACTCACCACCACGCTCACCACCACCACGCTCACCACCACCACGCTCACCACCACGCTCACCACCACACTCACCACCACCACGCTCACCACCACCACGCTCACCACCACGCTCACCACCACACTCACTACCACCACGCTCACCACCACCATGCTCACCACCACACTCACCACCACCACGCTCACTACCACGCTCACCACCACGCTCACCACCACCACGCTCACCACCACGCTCACCACCACGCTCACCACCACACTCACCACACCAGCATGCTCACCACCACCACGCTCACCACCACGCTCACCACCACACTCACCACACCACCACGCTGACTACACTACCACACCCATCACACCACCACCCTCATCACACCACCACACGCATCACACCACCACCCTCATCACACCACTACGCTCACCACACCATCACGCTCACCACACCAACGCTCACCACACCACCACTCTCAGAACACTGCAACCCTTACCAAACCGCTGTTCTCTTAACGCCACCACACTCACTACACCACCACGCTCACCAAACCACCACCACGCTTACCACACCACCACGGTGACCACACCACCACGCCACTGGGGAGACAAAGGCGGCCGGGCGCGATGCTGCCCACCCACCCGCTCGTGCGGCGTGCCGGCCTTCCGTAATAGGCGCCGCTCGCTAACAGCACTTGGCCCCAATGGCCCGCGAAGACTATCCGGGGGACCTTTGTGTTTGTGGGGCAGCTGCTGGAGGAGGTGGTGGCGCGGGGGCAGCTGTCGCAGCTGCTGTGGCACCACGTGGTCGCGTGCAACCAACTCATGATGGCCGACCTGCTCGCCCTGCCAGCGCTCGTGTCACTGCACGGGGAGGCCCTGACCCTCGCCCGCTCGCCACAGGTGGGGGCAGCGTGGGGGGGGGGGGTAGCGGCAGGCAGGGCGGGGGTGATGGGGGGGGGGGCGGTGTGACGCGGGGTGTGATGGGGGGTGTGATGGGTGGGGTGTGATGTGGGGTGAGACAGGTGGGGTGTGACGGGTGGGGTGTGATGTGGGGTGAGACACGTGGGGTGTGACGGGTGGGGTGTGATGTGGGGTGAGACACGTGGGGTGTAACGTGGGGTGTGACACGTGGGGTGTGACACGTGGGGTGTGACGGGGGTGTGACGTGGGGTATGACGTGAGGTGTGACGTGTGGGGTGTGACGTGGGGTGTGACGGGTGGGGTGTGACGTGGGGTGTGACGTGTGGGGTGTGACATGGGGTGTGACGTGGGGTGTTACGTGGGGTGTGACTCGTGGGGTGTGACTCGTGGGGTGTGACTCGTGGGGTGTGACGTGGGGTGTGACACGTGGGGTGTGACGTGGGGTGTGACTCGTGGGGTGTGACGTGGGGTGTGACACGTGGGGTGTGACGTGGGGTGTGACATGTGGGGTGTGACATGTGGGGTGTGACATGGGGTGTGACGCGGCGTGGCGCAGGTTGGCGGCGACGCAGCGTCGGTGCTGGTGGGCGGCGTGGCGCACATCACGGCCAGCGACTACGTGGCGTCCAACGGCGTCTTGCACATGCTCGATCGGCTGCTGGTGCCCAAGCGCATGCAGGCCTTCGAGCGCACGACCAGCGGACTCTCCTCCGTGCTGGTGAGAGCGGCGCCGGCCATCGGAGATTTCGTTTGCCGATTTCAAGCCAAATTTTACTTCTGATTTCAATGCAGAAATTTATGGATGAATTCCCCCGGGCGATTTCACTGATGAAAATCGGGAGCACGTCCAGGGGTGGAATGAGTTTCGGATTTCCGATTGTTTGAGATCGTTTCCGACTTTCCAGATGATTTCTATCGGTCTGGTTGTACCGTGACACGACCTGGGGTCACCTGGGGTCACATCTGGTCACCCGGGGCCACCTGGAGTCACACAGGGGTCACATGGGGTCACATGGGGTCAAGTGGGTTCTCACGGGGTCACACGGGGGTCACATGGGGTCAAGCGGGTTCTCACGGGGTCATAAGGGGTCACAAGGGGTCACACGGGTCACCAGGAACCACTGGCGAAAAAGATGCCCGATCTGCAGATGATTATTTTTAAAATCTAATTTGTCCGAGAATCTGAAACGCACCCGATACGTTGTAGGTTTGCTATATTCTTTATTTTTTCTTTGGGTCTTTCGGTAAAGTCACGTAGATTAATACAAATAATAAATATAAGATAAACCATTAACACGCTAATCTCTCCCATTAACACGCTAATCTCTCACGTTAACATCACTAGCCCCGCCCACTACGTTTATGACCCTAGGACTACACCCATTTTAAACCTATAAAACAGTCTGCATTCAGCAGCTTCTCCCCTCTTTCCTCCTGATGACGATCGCTTGTTATGTGAAGGAAACGTCGTAGTTTTTTGTTAATTTTATATTTGTTCCACCATTGGAACCTCATTTGCCAGTAGCAAAATATGGTAATTGGTATTTTACCCTTTTATCTGGCAACAAAACTGACACCTTTTTTACAAGAAGTCATGTTTGCATAGACCACAATACCTGCAGTCGGAATGCATTCAAAAAACACAACTCTGATAATGATATGCACTGTCCTTGAAGTTGATTGATCCATACCCGAGACAGCTTTCTTTAGAGCCTAGTCTCACATGGTGTTGGACCACATGACGCCAAAAGGCGCACAACTCAAAGACAATGCACCATCAGAGTATGAGAGCTCGGGGTAGACATTTACTCCATTGGAACCTAATTTGCCAGTAGCAAAATATGATTAATATTTGTAATTTTTAATTCATTTGAACCTATCTATGTGACTTTACCGAAATACTCAAAGAATGTGAATTCCTGCAGGCACGAGAGCTTTAAGTCGAGATTTCGGTGTGCGATGTTTACATCTCATTCATCAACCCAGCCTTCCTGGGGGCTCCCTGACATCTCGCTCTCCCAGGCTAACTGGGCTATGTGTGTGTGTGTGTATGTGTGTGCGCGCGTGTGTGTGCGTGTGTGTGCGTGTGTGTGCGTGTGTGTGCGTGTGTGCGCGCGCGTGTGTGTGCGTGTGTGTGCGTGTGTGCACGCGTGTGTGTGCGTGTGTGTGCGTGTGTGTGCGCGTGTGTGTGCGTATTGTGTGTGCGTGTGTGTGTGCGTGTGTGTGCGTGTGTGCGCGTGTGTGCGTGTGTGTGCGTGCGTGTGCGTGCGTGTGTGTGTGCGTGTGTGTGCGTGTGTGTGCATATGCGCGTGTGCGTGTGTGCGTGTGTGGCTACAGAAAAACATTACTGCTGTGGCAGAAGATCATGGATATTCAGAGTTTGTGAGTCTGCTCGCGGTGAGGACTTACACAACCATCATGGCCACATGCCCACCACCACCACCACAACTACATGTCTACCACCACCATCACGCTCACCACCACCACCATCACACTCACCACCACCACCACCACAACTACATGTCTACCACCACCATCACGCTCACCACCATTACACTCACCACCATCACACTCACCACCATCACAATCACACGCTCACCACCACCACCATCACAATCACACGCTCACCACCACCATCACGGCCACAAATCCATGACAAACATCACCATCCCCCCCCCCATCATCTCCCCCCCCCCCCATCATCTCCCCCATATCCGCTGTGTCCTCCACCCCATCACCATCTCCCCCCCCGCCCCCCCCCCCCGTACAGAAGTGTGGGCTGCTGGCGCTGGTGGCCGAGCCGCTGCACCGCCCCTACACCATGCTGTGGCCCACGGACGCGGCGCTGCGCTCACTGCCGCCCGCGCGGCGCGACTTCCTGTACGCGCCGGCGCAGCGCGACCGGCTCGCAGAGCACCTCAAGTTCCACATGGTCCGCGACGCCAAGGTGCGGCGGGCGGGGGGGGGGGGGGCGGGGGGTGTGGGCAGGGGGGGTAAAGGGGGCCGGGGGTGGTGGCCGACGCGACGATGGGCGACGCGCGCCGTCGTAGCGACTGGCGTCGTCGTAGTCGAGATGAACTTCCACGCAAACGGCGTCGTCGCAAACGGCGTCGTTGCAAACGGCGTCGTTGCAAACGGCGTCGTTGCAAACGGAAACGTAAACAACAACATCGTCGCCATCGCCATGCTCATCATCCTCATCGTGAATGGTGTTATGGTCATCGTCGTCTTTATTAGCATCATTATTTATCGTCGAGAGCTTCATCATCATCATCGGTGTTAGTGTCATCATCATTGCGACCACTGCAACTGCCACCCTTATCACCACCACCACCACCACTACCTCTCTTGTCACCCACCACGCTCTCCGCTGACCCGCGGTGTCCCCCCGCGTAGCCTGCGCCGTGTCCCCGTACCCCGGCCTGCGTGTGCACTGCGATCGCTCCGGGCCGCCGCCCATTTACTCTCGGGGCTTCGACGATTCTGATCTCGTCAAGGAGCTAGAGACCGTCACCGCACGACCTCCGTTCGTCCTCGCAGCAGCAGCAGCGGCAGCAGCAGCGGCAGCAGCAGCAGCGGCGGCTTTTGGCTGCTGGCCGTCGAACAAAGACGGCGGTCGCCGCATCGCGCGGTGCTTTCAGATGCGCTGCTGCGGCCGTCTGGAACGCTCTCTTCCTTGCGATATTAGGGAGCCGCTTTTAAACCCTCGAGATTTAAAACTAATTTTCTTTGTGCTTAGTTTGCTGTCCTTCCGCCCCCCCCCCCCCCCCCCCCCACGCACCTCCGATTAACACGGTTGGCTACGTACGGCGCAAAAGAAGTTCAACACACACACACACGTACGTACGTCCCCCGTGGTGCGCTCCATCCTCGCGCCGATCTCCCTGCTTCATCGCCGTTACTTCCTCTCCAGCGCCGGAGTCGTTCCCGTGGTCCCGGGGCTGCCACCCTTCTCACTGGCGCTCGTGCCCCGGTCCCTGGAGTTCATATTCTTCCCCCCCCCACCCCTCTCCCCGCCCCTCCCCCCGCCCCTCCTGGCTGGCGCGAGCAGGTGCTGGCATCCGACATGCCGACGGTGGGGCCGCTCTTGACCATGCAAGGCTCCGAGATCTCCTTCTCCTGCTCCACGTCCAACGCCACGGTGAGAGGGCCGCCAGCGCCGAACCCTCGCTGGTCACCGGCGCGGCTACCCACATCGCACGGACGCCGACTCGCAGAGCGGCGGCACCAGCAGCGGTCGGTGGTGGCGGCGGTGGTTGTGGCGGTGTTGGTGGTGGTTGTGGCGGTGGTGGTGGTTGTGGTGGTGGTGGTGGTGGTGGCGGTGGTCGTGGTGGTGGTTGTGGTGGCAGTGATAGTGGTTGTGGTGGTGGTGATGGTGGTGGTGATGGTGGTGGTTATAGTAGAGGTGGTGATGGCTTTATTGACCTGGTCAAGGACTATGATACCATTAAGTAGGCCTGGGCTCTGGGTTGTTCTTTGTGCTTTCGGAGTCCCTGACCCTCTGCTCACGATCATTAATGACCTTCATGATGGTGGGCAGGCTCGGGTAAAGCTACGTGGCCGGGATTCGGAGCCATTCCCTGTTCACCTTGGGGTGTGACAGGGATGTCCTCTGGTGCTCACACATTATTTAACAGCTTTTATTCGGCCGGATAGGGGGGCTAAACGGGCGCAGCACGGGCTAGAGAAGAGATGGAGTGATGTGGTACTAGATGATGTGGTGCTGAGTGGACTTGCCGATGACTGGTACCAGCGGTGTCAAGATCGGCCTCCAACAACAACGGAGGGTGGAGGAGCGACGCTCACAACAACTTGCGGAGCGCCGGATGGCTAAAGCACAGCAAGTTGGCACAGTAGGGGGCACAGGTGGTGCATCGGCCACTCATCTCAGTCAGTCGACCCGTGGCACCTGCTGGGTCTGCCCCGTGACCTACCAGCGGACTGTTTGACACTTCATGTGGCCTCAACATGCACATAGTGCTGTGGTGACGTCACCGCCACTTAGTGGCGATTGGCGGTTGTTGTGTTTTGATTTAAAGCTTTCGTGACTGCAGGGATTCATCTTCTTGGTTCTTTCGGTAAAGTCACGTAGAATGGAAATAATAAAATAATAAAAATAAAACATAATATAATAATTCTCACGATGTTTCGGCCACAATGCAAGCAGCCGTCCTCAGGTGGAGAGCAGGTCTGTTGAGAAGACAGAGTCTGAATGACACACCCCAGGCTTGGAGCGTTTATTTAAGCTGGGAGGGAGGAGGAAGAGCGCCTTGACAAAATAATTTGCATATCAAGAGGATTATTTTATTATGTTTCATTTTTATTATTTTATTATTTCCATTCTGCGTGACTTTACCGAAAGAACCAAGAAGAAGGGTTGTTGTGTTGTTGTTGTTGATGGCGGTGGTGGTGGCGGTGGTACTGGTGGTGGCTACACAGCACGTGGTGGCCACCTGTAGTGATCCAGCGCTGTGAAGGCAGCAGCGAGGGTTGGTGGACCACGCACGGATGGTGTTGCGAAACTCGCTTTCTCCGTGTGTGGGCGTCGAGGAAGAGCCCTACCCCTGGCTCTGCCAGGAGACGGCAGTACAGCAATATGTGGACCCCACCTGCTCCACCCGTATGGGATCGAGCGTTGCTCCCCTTCGCACGCGTTGGTTTTCTTCGGGTGCTCCGGGTGCTTCCTCTCACGTGTATAACCACTCACTAATTGGCCGACAACACCTTCATATGTAGAGGGCCGCAGAGCTTTGTGGTGATGGGGAATTTTGCGCCGGCTCCTCGCCACCACGTGGCTGCTGCTGCTGCTCATCTTTGGTTCTTCCTCCTGGCACCGATGATGGTGGTGGCCGTGAACGGGAATTGAACTCGGGTGACTGGGTTCGTAGCGCAGCCAGGCGAGATGTTAACAGCCTCACCTTCTATACAGGAGGTCGCGGGTTCGATCACGATCCTGACGCCTGCTGTATATTTGGAGTTTGTGTGTCTCTCTCTCTCATCATCATCACGGTGGCTAGGAGATGTTAACAGCCTCACCTTCTATACAGGAGGTCGTGGGTTCGATCCCGATTCTGACGCCTGCTGTATATTTGGAGTTTGTGTGTCTCTCTCATCATCATCACGATGGCGTGGAGATGTTAACTACCTCGAATGGTATACAGGAGATCGTGGATTCGATCCCGATCTTGACGCCTGCTGCTGTATATTTGGAGTTTACGTGTCTCTCTCTTATCATCACCACGATGGCTAGGAGATGTTAACTACCTCGCCTGGTATACAGGAGATCGTGGATTCGATCCCGATCTTGACGCCAGCTACTGTATATTTGGAGTTTGCGTGTCTCTCTCTGTTATCATCACCACGATGGCGTGGACATGTTAACTACCTCGCCTGGTATACAGGATATTGTGGATTCGATCCCGATCGTGACGCCTGCTGCTGTATATTTGGAGTTTGCGTGTCTCTCTCCCCATGGTCACGTGGATTTTTATCCAGGTCCGCCGGTTTTTCCCTCCACATTGAAAATCAACGTCGCGCGTTTAGGAATATTTGCCTGCTATAAATTCCCACTTGATGATAAGCCACTTCGTTCGGCTCTCATTTTTGGCCGGGTCTCTTTCTGAACAAGAGCTCAGTGGGCCTTACCCGGTAAAATAAAAAAATAGTCGAGATAGTCTCGTTGAAATAGTCGTCGCTCTCTGTGAGCAGCGTGGGACAAGTTGAGATGATGATTATAACACCACCAGCACCGCCACCACCACCAGCACCGCCACCACCACCAGCACAACCACCACCACCACCAGCACCACCACCAGCACCGCCAGCAGCACCACCACCACCACCAGCACCAACAGCACCACCAGCAGCACCACCAGCACCACCAGCAGCACCACCATCAGCACCACCAGCACCACCAGCACCACCAGCAGCACCACCACCAGCACCACCAGAACCACCACCACCCGCACCACCACCAGCACCACCACCACCATCAGCACCACCAGCACCGCCAGCAGCACCACCACCATCACCACCAGAACCACCACCACCCGCACCACCACCAGCACCACCACCAGCACCGCCAGCAGCACCACCAGCAGCACCAGCAGCACCACCACCACCACCAGCCCGGGTTCATTTTTAAGCGAACACTTTTCAGCTCGCTCACTCGCTTACTCGCCCACTCAACTCGCCCGCCCACTCACACTCGCGGCCACCGGCACTTGCCCCACGGCCGCGCGTGGGCTACACGGGGGATCTTTGTCTGCGCGTGCGCGCAGGGCGAGCTCTTCGTGAACGAGGGGAGCGCCCGCATCGTGCAGCGTGCGCTCGAGTTTGACGGGGGGCTGCTGTACGGCCTCGACGCACTGCTGCAGCCGCCCAGTGTCGGGGGACGCTGCGACGTCTTCACCACTATCGACATCAAGGTGGGCGCCGCGCGGCGCGTGGAGGGGCGGCAGTGGGGGGGAGGGGGGCACCTGCGCCGGTGGGTGGTCACGCGGGTGGGGCGGGCGAGTGGGGCAGGTGAGCAGGTTGGTGAGCGGGTTGGTGAGCGGGTTGGTGAGCGGGTTGGTGAGCGGGAGGGTGGGTGGGTGGGTGGGTGAGTGGGTGGGTGGGTTAACGGGTGGGTGAGCGGGTGGGTGGGTGAGCGTGTGGGTGAGCGGGTGGGTGGGGCAGGTGAGCGGGCAGGTGAGCGGGTGGATGGGTGGGTGGGTGAGCGGGTGGGTGGGTGGATGAGCATGTGGGTGAGCGGGTGGGTGGGTGAGCGGGTGAGTGGGTTAGCGTGTGGGTGAGCGGGCGGGTGAGCGAGTTGGTGAGCGGGTTGGTGAGTGGGTGGGTGAGCGTGTGGTCGGGCGGGTGGGCAGGTGGGCAGGTGAGCTGGTGGGTGGATATGGAGGTGATTGGGTGGGTGGCTATATAGACGGGGAGTGGTGGTGCAGTGGTTAGTGCGCTGCGCTACGAACCTGGACGCTCATGGCCACCAACACCAATGATGAATATCTGAACCGGTCCTGGGCCTCCCCTAGGTTTACTCAGCCTCAAATGAGTACCTGGTACGATGCGTAAACATCGCCATTAGGGAGACAAAAGCGGCCGGGCGTGGTGCTGGTAGCACTTGCCACAAAAGTATGTTGAGGCTATACGGGGGATCTTTGTCTTGACTAGATAGGTGAGTGGGTCGGCGAGTGGGCGAGTGGGTGGGTGGCTCGGCAGGTGAGTGGGTGGAGTAGTGGATGACTGGGTGGGTGGGCAGGTGGGTGAGTGGGTGGGTAGGCAGGTGAATGGGTGGAGTAGTGGATGACTGGGTGGGTAGGCGGGTGGGTGGGTGGGTAGGCGGGTGGGTGGGTGGGCAGTGTGGGGGCTGTGACCCTGCGATTGAGCTCACTGGTACATCGGTCACCCGTCCGTCCTCTACCTTCCACCCACCCATCCACCCACCTACCCACCCCCACCCACCTTTCCCACGTTCCCGTGCCGGGACCATGGATGCTCCAGGGAGACTGTGGGAACTGCGCTCGATTGCCGCCATGTCCAGGGTCAACCAAGTCGAAGGTCGGTGGGAGTGAGTGGGAGTGAGCGTGTGTGTCTGTGTGTGTGTGCGTGTGTGTGCGTGTGTGTGCGTCTGTGTGTGTGTCTGTGTGCGTTTGTTTGTGTGTGTCTGTGTGTGTGTGTCAGTGTGTCTGTGTGTGTGTTTGTGTGTGTCTGTGTGTGTGTCTGTGTGTGTGTGTGTCTGTGTGTCTGTGTGTGTCTGTGTGTGTGTCTGTGTGGGGAGCGGTGGTGCAGCGGTTAGCGCGCTGCTCTATGAACCCGGCGGCCCGAGTCCGATTCCTGCTCACAGCCACCACCAGTGACGATTATCTGAACCGGTCCTGGGCCACCCCTAGGTCGACTCAGCCTCAAATGAGTACCTGGTGCTGTGTATAGTAAACATCGCCACTCGAGAGACAAAGGCGGCCGGGCGTGGTGGCTGGCCACCCACCCGGTCGTGTGCCGTGCCGGCCTTCATCGGTGCTACTCGCTTACAGCACTTGCCCCAATTGTCTCTTAAGGCTACACGAGGGATCTTCGTGTGAGTGTGTGAGTGTGTCAGCGTGTGAGTGTGTGAGTGTGTGAGCGTGTGAGTGTGTGAGTGTGTGAGCATGTGAGTGTGAGCGTGTGAGCGTGTGAGTGTGAGCGTGTGAGTGTGTGAGTGTGAGCGTGTGAGTGTGAATGTGTGAGCGTGTGAGTGTGAGCGTGTGAGCGTGTGCGTGTGTGAGTGTGAGCGTGTGAGTGTGAGCGTGTGAGTGTGAGCGCGTGAGTGTGAATGTGTGAGTGTGAGCGTGTGTGAGTGAGTGTGTGAGTGTGAGCGTGTGAGTGCGAAGGCGTGAGTGTGGATGTGTGAGCGTGTGTGCGTGTGAGTGTGAGTGTAAGCATGTGAGTGTGTGAGTGTGAGCGTGTTAGTGTGTGAGTGTGTGAGTGTAAGCGTGTGAGTTTGAGCGTGTGAGTGTGTGAGTGTGTGCGTGTGGGAGTGTGAGCGTGTGAGTGTGAGCGTGTGCGTGTGTGAGTGTAAGCGTCTGGGAGTGAAAGCGTGTGAGTGTGAATGCGTGTGCGTGTGCGCACAGTACAACTACAGCCTATGGAGACATCAGAGGAGAATGGGGCCCAATGTTGTCCCCCCCCACCCTCGTCCTCCCCACCCCCTTGCCCCCCCCCCCGTGCCCCCAGGACAAGATTGTGCGCTGCTCCTACAGCTCGCTGTTTGGCGCGCTGCGAGACGGCTGCCGACGCGACTGCGCCCTCTCCGTGTGGCACCAGCAGTGCTGCGCCGGCTTCTACGGCCGGGACTGCCGGCGTGAGTGGCACGCGAGCGCACGTGTGTGTGTGTGCGCGTGTGTGCGAGCGTGTGTGTGTGATCGTGCGCGCGTGTGTGTGTGAGCGTGTGTGTGTGAGCGTGTGTGTGTGCGCGTGTGTGTGTGCGTGTGTGTGTGTGTGCGCATGTGTGTGCGCGTGTGTGTGTGTGTGCGTGTGTGCGTGCCTGTGTGCGTGTGTGTGTGTGTGCGTGTGTGCACGTGTGTGTGTGTGTGCGTGTGTGTGTGCGTGTATGTGTGTGCGCGTATGTGTGCGTGTGTGCGTGTGTGTGTGTGCGCGTGTTTGCGTGCGTGTGTGCGTACGTGCGTGGGCACGGGGAGTGGCAGTGTAGCGGTTAGTGTGCCGAGCGGCGACCCGAGTTCAATTCCCGTTCACAGTCGCGAATATCCGAACCGGTCCCGGGCCTCCCCGAAGGTTCGACTCAGCCTTGAATGAGTGTCTGGTAGGGAGTGTAAAACATCGCCACTGGGGAGACACAGAATACCCGGTGTGGTGCTGGCCACCCACCCCTTCGCGTGCCTCGCTGGCCTGTATAGGTGCTCGCTAACAGCAAGGAGTTGGCATCGGCGGTACATCGGCCAGCCGTGTCCAGCAGTCAACCCACAGCACCTGGAGGGCTGTCCCGTGACCCCCCCTGGCAGCAGTGAGAGCCTTTGACACCTCACGTGCTTGTCTCAAGGTGCACCTAGCCTGGCACGGGTGACGTCGCCGCTACTTGGTGGCGTAAGGCGGCGGTTGTTGTGTGGGGGAGTGGTGGCACAGCGGCTAGGAGGCTGCGCTACCCGAGTTCGATTCCCGCTCACGGCCAACACCAGCGCAGATTATCTCAACCGGCCCTGGGCCTCCCCCGTGTCGACTCGGCCTCAAGTGGCTATCCCAGGGAGACAAAGTTCGCCAATCGCACTTGCCCCGACTGTCCGCTAAAGGCTACGCGGGGGACCTTTGGCTGTGTGCGTGCGCTTCAGCGTGCCCCGGTGGAGCGGCGAGGCCGTGCGGCCGCCGTGGCGTGTGCGAGGACGGCTCGGCGGGGAGCGGCACGTGTCGCTGCCAGGCCGCCTTCAACGGCACCGCGTGCGAGGAGTGCACGCCCGGGAGATACGGGCCCTCCTGCAAACGTACGTGGCGCTCGCTCGCCTTGTCGCTCACTCGCCGTGTCACTCACTCGCCGTGTCGCTCACTCGCCGTGTCGCTCACTCGCCGTGTCGCTCACTCTCCGTGTCGCTCAACCGCCGTGTCGCTCGCTCGCCTTTGTCACTCGCTCGCCGTGTCACTCACCAGGTCACTCACTCACTAAGTCGCTCACTCGCCGTGTCGCTCACTCGCCGTGTGGCTCACTCGCCGTGTCGCTCACTCGCCGTGTCGCTCACTCGCCGTGTCGCTCACTCGCCGTGTCGCTCACTCTCCGTGTCGCTCAACCGCCGTGTCGCTCGCTCGCCTTGTCACTCGCTCGCCGTGTCACTCACTCACCAGGTCACTCACTCACTAAGTCGCTCACTCGCCGTGTCGCTCACTCGCCGTGTGGCTCACTCACCGTGTCGCTCACTCGCCGTGTCGCTCACTCGCCGCGTCACTCACTCACCAGGTCACTCACTCACCGTGTCACTCACTCACCAGGTCACTCACCAAGTCACTCACTCACCAGGTCACTCACTCGCCGTGTCGCTCGCTCGCCGTGTCACTCACTCGCCGTGTCGCTCACTCGCCTTGTCACTCACTCGCCGTGTCGCTCACTCGCTGTATCACTCACTCACCAGGTCACTCACTCGCCGTGTCACTCACTCGCTGTGTCACTCACTCACTAAGTCGCTCACTCACCGTGTTCCTCGTTCACTTTCCACGTCGCTCACTTACTTGCGGTGTCACTCACTCGCCGTGTCACTCACAGGTAGGTTCGTGGCGGTGTGTCACGGTGTGTCACCGGGTGTCACGGTGTGTCACGGGGTGTCATGGTGTGTCACGGTGTGTCACGGTGTGTCACGGGGTGTGTGCCGTGTCTCAGCGTGCATGTGCAGTGCCACGGGCACGTGTGACGAGGGTGTGGCGGGTAGCGGGTCGTGCTTCTGTGCCGAGGGGTGGACCGGCAAGCGATGCGACACCAAGCTCGGTGAGAACCGCCCATGACACGCAGACACACCGACGACATGCGGACACACAGACACACAGACTACACACACACCGACACACACTGACACACCGACACGCAGACACACCGACTACACAAGACACAGACACACAGATTACATGCGGACACAGACACACCAACGACACACAGACACACACAGAGACACAGACACACAGACACACCAACGACACACAGACACACACAGACACACAGACACACAGACACACCAACGACACACAGACACACACAGACACACAGACACACAGACACACCGACTACACACACACCGACACACAGACGACATGCGGACACAGACACACCAACGACACACAGACACACAGACACACCGACTACACACAGACACACCGACTACACACAGACACACCGATGACACGCGGACACACAGACACATCAACGACACGCGGACCCACAGACACACCGACTGCACACAGACACACTGATGACACACCGACACAAAGACACACAGACACACCGACGACACACAGACACACCGATAACACACAGACACACCGACTACACAGACACACCAACGACACACGGACACACAGGCATACAGACCCGGGCACAGCGGCCGCACGGACACGACTCAAGTGATTTTCCGTGACGGCCCGTGACCACCGGCAGATCTCAGCCGGATCCTCGCTCGTTCCGGGTGAATGTGGTTCGCTCACCTCTGACCTCTGACCTCCCCATCCTGACCTCCCCGTCCACGTGTGCACGCAGCCCGGAAGCCGGTGTGCGTCCCCGCGTGCCACAAGAACGCAATTTGCCGGGACAACAGCACGTGCATCTGCAAGCCGGTGTACGAGGGCGACGGAGTCTCCTGCAAGCGTGAGTTCCGCTGCTGCCTTCGGGGAGACGGACGCACGGATGGTACTAACAGGACGGTAGTAACAGGACAGATGGTACTCACAGGACGGTAGTAACAGGACAGACGATACTAACAGCATGGGCAGTACGAGCAGGACGTGACTAACGGGACGGACGGACGGGACTAATAGGACGGACGATACTAATAGGACAGTACTAACGACTAACAGGATGGTACAAACAAGATGGTACTAACAGGACGGTTGATACTAACGGGACGGGAACTAACAGGATGATACAAACAAGACGGTACTAACAGCACGGTAGTAACAGGACACGACTAACAAGATGGTACACACAAGATGGTACTAACAGGATGGTTGATACTAACAGGACGGGAACTAACAGGACCGACGGTACGAACAGGGCGGGAACTAACAGGACGGTACTAACAGGATGGTACACACAAGACGGTATTAACAGGATGGTTGATACTAACAGGACGGGAACTAACACGACGGTACTAACAAGATGGTACACACAAGACGGTACTAACAGGATGGTTGATACTAACAGGACGGGAACTAACAGGACGGTACTAACAGGATGGTACAAACAAGACGGTACTAACAGGACGGTAGTAACAGGACACAACTAACAGGATGGTACACACAAGACGGTACTAACAGGACGGTAGTAACAGGACACAACTAACAGGATGGTACAAACAAGACGGTACTAACAGGACGGTAGTAACAGGACACAACTAACAGGATGGTACACACAAGACGGTACTAACAGGACGGGAACTAACAGGATGGTACTAACAGGATGGTACAAACAAGACGGTACTAACAGGATGGTACACACAAGACGGTACTAACAGGACGGTACTAACTGGATGTACTAACAGGATGGTACACACAAGACGGTACTAGCAGGACGGTTGATACTAACAGGACGGGAACTAACAGGACGAGCGACACGAACGAGACGAGCGATGACGGTTTCACCCTCACCCCGTCTCCCCGTGGGCGCGAGCCAGTGGTGAGCCTGTGCAAGCAGGCCAACGGCGGCTGCCACAAGTGGGCCGGCTGCTACCAGAAGGGTACGAAGGTGGAGTGCCGCTGCCGCACCGGCTACGAGGGCGACGGGCGCGTGTGCCGCTGGCAGGACCGCTGCGCCAACGACAACAACGGAGGGTGCAGCGAGAACGCGGCGTGCACCATGACGGGACCGGTGAGACGTGGGCACGTGCCCAGACGCTAGCTTGCACCCAGACACTAGCTTGTTGCACCCAGACGCTAGCTTGCACCCAGACGCTGGCTTGTTGCACCCAGATGCTAGCTTGCACCCAGACACTAGCTTGCACCCAGACGCTGGCTTGTTGCACCCAGACGCTAGCTTGCACCCAGACGCTAGCTTGCACCCAGACGCTAGCTTGCACCCAGACGCTAGCTTGCACCCAGACGCTAGCTTGCACTCAGACGCTAGCTTGCACCCAGACACTAGCTTGCACCCAGACACTAGCTTGCACCCAGACGCTAGCTTGCACCCAGACGCTAGCTTGCACCCAGACGCTAGCTTGCACCCAGACGCTAGCTTGCACTCAGACGCTAGCTTGCACCCAGACACTAGCTTGCACCCAGACGCTAGCTTGCACCCAGACGCTAGCTTGCACCCAGATGTGAGCCCCGTTGACACCTCGTGTGCACGGGTTTTGGTTTTAGTTTTCTCCAGGTACGTTGAGCTTCTTTCGCACCATACGTTAGCCAACCGTGCACTTGCCTCAATGGCCCCGCCGTTAAAGGTCACGCGGGGGATCCTTTGCCTTTGTGTGCCTGGGGGTGGTGGTGGGGGTGGGGGTGGGGTCGCAGAACAAGCGGCGGTGCACGTGCGGCGCCGGCTTCGTGGGCAACGGGGAGCAGTGCCTGCCCGTGGCGGCGCCGCCAATCGACCGCTGCCTGGTGGACAACGGACGGTGCCACCCCGACGCCACCTGCACCGACCTCCACCACGCGGGTGAGTGTGCGGGTCAGCGGGTGGGCGGGTGAGCGGGTGAGCATGTGGGTGAGCGGGTGGGCGGGTGAGCGGGTGAGCGGGTGGGCGGGTGAGCGGGTGGGCGGGTGGGCGGGTGAGCGGGTGAGCGGGTGGGCGGGTGAGCGGTGAGCATGTGGGTGGGCGGGTGAGCGGGTGAGCGGGTGGGCGGGTGAGCGGGTGGGCGGGTGAGCGGGTGAGCATGTGGGTGGGCGGGTGAGCGGGTGGGCGGGTGAGCGGGTGAGCGGGTGGGCGGGTGAGCGGGTGGGCGGGTGAGCGGGTGAGCATGTGGGTGGGCGGGTGAGCATGTGGGTGGGCAGGTGAGCAGTGGGTGGGCGGGTGGATGAGCCGGTGAGCGGGTGAGCATGTGGGTAGGCGGGTGAGCATGTGGGTGGGCGGGTGAGCGGGTGGGCGGGTGGGCGGGTGAGCGGGTGGGCGGGTGAGCGGGTGAGCATGTGGGTGGGCGGTGAGCGGGTGAGCGGGTGGGCGGGTGAGCGGGTGGGCGGGTGAGCGGGTGAGCATGTGGGTGGGCGGGTGAGCGGGTGAGCATGTGGGTGGGCAGGTGAGCATGTGGGGTGGGCGGGTGGATGAGCGGGTGAGCGGGTGAGCATGTGGGTAGGCGGGTGAGCATGTGGGTGGGGCGGGTGAGCATGTGGGTGAGCGGGTGAGCGGTGGGCGGGTGAGCGGGTGGGCGGGTGAGGGGGTGAGCATGTGGGTGGCGGGTGAGCATGTGGGTGAGCGGGTGAGCGGGTGGGCGGGTGAGGCGGGTGAGCGGGTGGGCGGGTGAGCGGGTGGGCGGGTGAGCGGGTGAGCATGTGGGTGAGCGGGTGTGCGGGTGAGCATGTGGGTAGCGGTGAGCATGTGGGTGAGCGGGTGAGCATGTGGGTGAGCGGGTGAGCATGTGGGTGAGCGGGTGTGCGGGTGAGCATGTGGGTAGGCGGGTGAGCATGTGGGTGAGCGGGTGAGCATGTGGGTGAGCGGGTGAGCATGTGGGTGAGCGGGTGTGCGGTTTCCACGCGGATGAGGGAGGAGGAGGAGGACTCCGGGCCCCGCTCTAGAGTGAGCACGCCGGCCGGAGATTGGCGGTCCGGAACCAGCGGCCGCCCCGGTGAATGCTGCGCGTACCGGTGGCCCGTGAGGACGTCGTCCCGGCGAGCAGCAGGGCCGTGGCGTCACCGCCCGTGCTGCTGCTCACCGCGGTTCGAGCGGTGACACCGCCGGTTGCTCAGTAGTGAGAGGGCGTTGTGTCTCATCGTATTGTACCGCCTCGCGAGTATCGTCTGCGAGACACGGCGCCTGCCTTAGTGGTCACCTGAATAGCAAGTGCACTGACGGCGAGATGCGACCTGCCCCCTGGCTGCCCCCCTGCTGCCCTTCCCCCCCCCCGTAGAGGGCGTGGCCGGTGTGTCCCACGTGCGCTCCGCCAAGGGGCAGTACCTTCTGAACCGCACGCAAGCGGAGGAGGCGTGCGCATCACAGGGGGCGACCATCGCCACCTTCAGCCAGCTGTCTGCCGCACAGCAGGTACGCACGCTGAGACACACGAGGACACAGGCGGCTGTCTACCACACAGCAGGTACTCACGCCGAGACACACGGGGACACAGGCAGCTGTCTACCGCACAGCAGGTACGCACGCTGAGACACACGGGGACACAGGCGGCTGTTTGCTGCACAGCAGGTACGCACGCTGAGACACACGAGGACACAGGCGGCTGTCTACCACACAGCAGGTACTCACGCCGAGACACACGGGGACACAGGCAGCTGTCTACCGCACAGCAGGTACGCACGCTGAGACACACGGGGACACAGCCAGCTGTCTGCCGCACAGCAGGTACGCACGCTGAGACACACGGGGACACAGGCAGCTGTCTACCGCACAGCAGGTACGCACGCTGAGACACACGGGGACACAGCCAGCTGTCTGCCACACAGCAGGTACGCACGCGGAGACACACGGGGACACAGGCAGCTGTCTGCCACACAGCAGGTACGCACGCTGAGACACACGGGGACACAGGCGGCTGTCTGCCGCACAGCAGGTACGCACGCCGAGACACACGGGGACACAGGCAGCTGTCTGCCACACAGCAGGTACGCACGCTGAGACACACGGGGACACAGGCAGCTGTCTGCCGCACAGCAGGTACGCACGCCGAGACACACGGGGACACAGCCAGCTGTCTGCCGCACAGCAGGTACGCACGCTGAGACACACGGGGACACAGCCAGCTGTCTGCCGCACAGCAGGTACGCACGCTGAGACACACGGGGACACAGCCAGCTGTCTGCCGCACAGCAGGTACGCACGCTGAGACACACGGGGACACAGCCAGCTGTCTGCCACACAGCAGGTACGCACGCGGAGACACACGGGGACACAGGCAGCTGTCTACCGCACAGCAGGTACGCACGCCGAGACACACGGGGACACAGCCAGCTGTCTGCCGCACAGCAGGTACGCACGCTGAGACACACGGGGACACAGCCAGCTGTCTGCCACACAGCAGGTACGCACGCGGAGACACACGGGGACACAGGCAGCTGTCTGCCGCACAGCAGGTACGCACGCCGAGACACACGGGGACACAGCCAGCTGTCTGCCGCACAGCAGGTACGCACGCGGAGACACACGGGGACACAGGCAGCTGTCTGCCGCACAGCAGGTACGCACGCTGAGACACACGGGGACACAGCCAGCTGTCTGCCGCACAGCAGGTACGCACGCCGAGACACACGGGGACACAGGCAGCTGTCTGCCGCACAGCAGGTACGCACGCCGAGACACACGGGGACACAGCCAGCTGTCTGCCGCACAGCAGGTACGCACGCCGAGACACACGGGGACACAGGCAGCTGTCTGCCGCACAGCAGGTACGCACGCTGAGACACACGGGGACACAGCCAGCTGTCTGCCGCACAGCAGGTACGCACGCCGAGACACACGGGGACACAGGCGGCTGTCTGCCGCTACCGGGGAGACAAAGGAGGCCCGGGGGTGGTTGTGGCCACGCACCCACACCTGCAATCCGTCAAGGCTACGCGGGGACCTTTGTCTGTGCGTAGGTGGGTCTGCACCTGTGCTCCGTGGGCTGGCTGGCGGGCGGGCGGGCCGGCTACCCCACCATCTACCCGAGCAAGCGCTGCGGCCTCGGGGTCGTGGGCGTCGTGGACTACGGGGAGCGGCTCAACCAGAGCGAGCTCTGGGACGTCTACTGCTTCCGCGTCAAAGGTGCGTGCGTGTGTGCGTGTGTGTGCGCGTGCGTGTGTGCGCGCGTGCGTGTGTGCGCGCGTGCGTGTGTGCGCGCGTGAGTGTGTGCGCGCGTGCGTGTGTGTGCGCGTGCGTGTATGTGCGCGTGCGTGTATGTGCGCGTGCGAGTATGTGCGCGTGCGTGTGTGTGCGCGTGCGTGTATGTGCGCGTGCGTGTATGTGCGCGTGCGCGTATGTGCGCGTGCGCGTATGTGCGCGTGCGCGTATGTGCGCGTTCGCGTATGTGCGCGTGCGCGTATGTGCGCGTGCGCGTATGTGCGCGTGCGCGTATGTGCGCGTGCGGGTATGTGCGCGTGCGTGTATGTGCGCGTGTGCGGCGCCCGCACACCGTGGGGGGGTGGTGAGACGGCGCTGTGCTCGTAGGGAGCGCGGCGAGTGTTGCCTGCGGCAGTTTGACCCGATCCGTCGCCCCGGGCGGGAGCGGCGATGCCGCCTGGAATTCGCACGCGCGGAATTTTCCCCGGCGGTCTATTGAAGGCTACGCGGGGGGCCTTTGCCTTTGTGCGCTCCACAGAGGTGCGGTGCGCGTGCACGGACGGCTTCGTGGGCGACGGCTTCTCCTGCAACGGCGACGTCCTGCAGGTGCTGGCCGGCCTGCCCGGCCACGCCACCTTCTACGCGGTTACGCAGCGCCAGCAGCCAGCCAGCAGCCAGCAGCCAGCAGCCAGCCAGCCGGGGACCTGTCCTCGAGTTCCCGTGTCTCCCCCGTGTCTCCCCCGTGTCTCCGCCGTGTCTCCACCGAGTCTCCGCTGAGTCTATGTCGTGTCTCCCCCGTGTCTCCGCCGTGTCTCCCCCGTGTCTCCCCGTGTCTCCGCCGAGTCTCCGCCGTGTCCCCGCGTATCTCCGCCGTGTCTCCCCGTGTCTCCGCCGTGTCTCCGCGTGTCTATGCTGTATCTCCCTCTGATATCCATGCTTCCACGTGTCCCGAGATCTCAACCTGTTCTCACGTCCCCGTATCCTTTGGTCCGCACACTCCTTTGTCTCCGTGAATTCGCGTGTCTCCATGTGACTGCGTGTCCTCACATCCGTCCGTCTCCCTGTGTCTCCTCCCTCATGTCACGTGATGCCCCCCCCCCCCCCCCCCGCCCACGGCGTGCCTCAGGCCCTGCTGGCTTTTGCCAACGCGAGCGACATCGGCCGGGAACTCATGGAGGCGCTGGGTGGCGGCGACGACAACATCACCCTCTTCCTGCCGGCCGACAGCGGATTCGGGGCTAACGAGGTACGTGGGGAGCTCCGCGAGGGGGACCTCCGCGAGGGGGACCTCTTCGAGGGGGCCTCCATGAGGGGGACCTCCGCGAGGGGGACCTCCGCGAGTGGGCCTCTACGAGCGGGACCTCCGCGAGGGGGACCTCCGCTAGGGGGACCTCCGCGGGGGTACCTCCGCGAGGGGGACCTCCGCGAGGGGGACCTCCGTGGGAGGACATGATTGCGATAATGGTGTGAGGAGCTCCGTGTGAGGAAGTTTTCTGTGGGGGGCCCCCATCTGAGTGGAGCTCTGTGAGGGGGGCTCTCTGTGAGCACCTCCGTGAGGGGGCCTCGGCGATACGAGAGCTGCGAGTGGTGATTGTGTCCCAGTGCTTGATGACGATGACGATGTTGATGATATTCTTGGTTCTTTCGGTAAAGTCATGTAGAAGGGAAATAATAAAATAATAAAAATATAAAACAACACAAATTCTCACGACGTTTCGACTGCACACAAGCAATCATCATCAGGTGTGAAATCCACAGCAAGAATTTTTTTAAAAAAGTGGCGGTTTTATCTTAACGTCAGCACCACGGACAGCGATTTGTGCAGTTGGTCAAGTCACCGTAAGCGTGAACACAATCAAACAAGACCCGAAATGGTTGATCAAATCCTTCCAATGATTGCTAAGCCAGAATCCATCTTCTCGGTTGAAATTGTCTCTGTGGTTGTATATGTGAATAGCCTCATGAACGAATCTCTCATGGTAGCCAGATGGCTTGCATTGATGATGTTAATAGTGTCAACACGTGGTGATGATGATGGTGATGTTGGTGATGGTATGATGGTGATGATGTTGGTGATGGTTTTGATGGTGTTGATGATGGTGTTGATGTTGGTGGTGATGATGATGGTGTTGATGTTGGTGGTGATGATGATGGTGTGATGGTGATGATGTTGATGGTGATGATGATGGTGATGTTGGTGTTGATGTTGATGTTGTTGGTGATGATGTTGGTGATGGTGATGGTGGTGATAGGTTGATGGTGTTGATGGTGGTTGATGTTGATGATGATGGTGTTGATGGTGTGGTTGTTGATGTTGTTGTTGATGTTGTTGATGTTGTAGACGCTGTCGTGGCGGGACGTGTCCCAGCACGTGGTGGCCCCGGCCCGTGGCCGTGTCCGCTACGCGGCGCCACCGAGGGCCTCGCGCTGCCTCACGCAGCGGGGGGGCGACGCTCCTCCATCCACACGGACAACCGCACCGCACGCAAGGCACCGCACACACCACACAGCGCCACACCACACCAACACCGCACCGCACGCAAGGCACCGCACACACCACACAGCGCCACACCAACAACCGCACCGCGCGCAAGGCACCGCACACACCACACAGCGCCACACCACACCAACAACCGCACCGCACGCAAGGCACCGCACACACCACACAGCGCCACACCACACCAACAACCGCACCGCAACGCAAGTCACGCACACACCACACAGCGCCACACCAACAACCGCACCGCGCGCAAGGCACCGCACACAACCACACAGCGCCACACACCGCACACAGCACACCGCACCACACAGCCACACCACACCACACCACACAGCCACACCACCACACCACCACTCCGCACCACGCGCAAGGCACCGCACACACCACACAGCGCCACACCACACCAACAACCGCAGCGCACGCAAGGCACCGCACACACCACACAGCGCCACACCAACAACCGCACCGCACGCAAGGCACCGCACACACCACACCACACAGCCACACCACACCAACAACCACACCACGTCACAAGGCCAAACTGCAAGGCACCGCACTGTGTTGTTATTTTTGATCACGTGCGTATGATCATGTACGTATACAAACTCACTTGTGATAATGTGCGTATGATCATGTACGTATACAAATTCACTTGTGATAATGTGCGTATGATCATGTACGTATACAAATTCACTTGTGATAATGTGCGTATGATCATGTCGTATACAAATTCACTTGTGATAATGTGCGTATGATCATGTACGTATACAAATTCACTTGTGATAATGTGCGTATGATCATGTACGTATACAAATTCACTTGTGATAATGTGCGTATGATCATGTACGTATACAAATTCACTTGTGATAATGTGCGTATGATCATGTACGTATACAAATTCACTTGTGATAATGTGCGTGTGAACATGTACGGATGGTCGTATGCGTATGATGACGTTCTTTCGCACCGTACATAGCCGACCATGCTAATAATGTTGTTGATGTAGCTGATGATGTTGTTTTGTTGATGTATAGTTGATGTTGTTGCTGATGTTGTTGATGTTGTTGATGTAGATGGTGAATGACCGCACCATCCTCATTGGACGAGGTCGCGACCAACGGCATCATCCACATCATCGAAGGCCCCCTCAGGGCCCCCGCGCTCCCGTAAGGACCCACAGGAACCCCTATAGACCCATATAGTACCACACCACACAGGGTCCCTAAAGACTCCTATAGTCTCACACCCACAGCGACCCTATAGACCCCTATAGTACCACACCACACAGGGACCCCTATAGACCCATATAGTACCACACCCCCACACACAGCGACCCTATAGACCCCAATAGTACCACACGCACACACACAGCGACCCTATAGACCCCTATAGTACCACACCCACACACACAGCGACCCCTATAGACCCCAATAGTACCACACTCACACACACAGTGACCCTATAGACCCCACTAGTAACACACCACACCACAGGGTCCCCTATAGACCCCTATAGTACCACACCCACACACACAGGAACCCCTATAGACCCCAATAGTACCACACCACACACACCGACCCCTATAGACCCCAATACCACACCCACACACAGCGACCATATAGACCCGGCTAGTACCACACTCACACACACAGCGACCCTATAGACCCCAATAGTACCACACCCACACACACAGGAACCCTCTAAGACCCCTATAGTACCACACCATATACACAGCGACTCTATAGACCCCGCTAGTAGCACACCCACTCACACAGGTAGTGTATGTTCGTCTATGGCTCCTCTGTGAAAGTCTATGGGTCTCTGTGTGTGTCCACGGGTCCTTTAATGTGTTTCTGTGTGTCTCTGTGTAAGTCTATGGTCTCTAGTGTGCCTGTGTGTCTCTGTGTAAGTCTATGGGTCTCTATGTGTATCTATGTGTCTCTATGTGTGTCTATGTCTCTGTGTAAGTCTATGGGCCTGTGTGTGTCTATGTGTCTCTATGTGTGTCTATGTGTCTTCTGTGCATGTTTATGGGTCTCTATGTGTCTCTGTGTGGTCTATGGGTCTCTGTGTGAGTCTATGGGTCTCTGTGTGTGTCTATGTGTTTCTGTGTGTGTCTATGAGTCTCTATGTGTGCTATGGGTCTCTGTGTAAGTCTACGGGTCTCTATGTGTGTCTATGTGTTTCTGTGTGTGTCTATGGGGTCTCTATGTTTGTGTTATGTGTCCTTGTATGTGTCTATGGGTCTCTATGTGTGTCTATGTGTCTCTGTGTCAGCCGATGGCGACTGGGCCGGACCAC